TTCAAGTTTATTTCGAAGGAGTTTGATAAGTGCAGAGTAGTCACCGTCAAGTTCTATGGTACAGTTTTCCTGTGCGATTGTTTCTTGTGTACGCAGTGTCTCTTTCTGGACAAATATTTCTGTTACCGTAACTACACAGGAAATTTCATTAAGGTTGTGGAATACGGTGCAATGTCTTCAGAGACGTCTTCGTGTACGGGCCTGTATATACAGATCTTCAGAAAACGTAGGTCTTCAGTATTCTAAAGGTTTGATTTTGTCAAAGATAATACTGAATTTGTCATAGATTATGTTAGTTATTCTATCGGAATTGTTTACAGTAAAGGTTCCCCGATGTGTGCTTCATAGGCAACTTTGGAATTTTTCTCAATCAGCCTTGTGGTAGTTTTAAAACACCACAACGCCTTATTTAGTAATACCTTTATAATCGAACCATAGTAACCCAGTCAAATCAGAAGTCAGGAGTGGAAGAGTTTGATGATAGATTTGGAAGGATATTGGCATGTTGAAGGAATGCATAGCACGGCGTATCCACTCGTGATCTGGTGTAGATGCTTGACCGAATACCTTCAGCTACTTGAGTCCAGTCAAACTAATCAGATCAGCATCAAATTTCGAGGACTTACAATGCTATTAATTCAAGGGATTTGTTTACCACGACAGTTTCTACGATGTATGACACTTTTACGTTTACCGGCTGTGGTTTTGATGTCAAGCCTACAGATGAAATCATTATGGTCGCTACCTGAAAACGCTTTTGTAATTATACAGTATTGTGATGTGACCACTGACAAAAGTTAAGTTCAAGATATTTTGATGTTTGATAGGGCTACTGACATACTGAGTCCAATGTTCAAGCTCTAGACATTCGACGAATGATTCAAAGCTTTTCATTGCTTTGACTGGAAATTGAGAAATTCCAGGCGTGTTGAAGACCACACAAATAAGCTTGCTTGTGAATGTTATGGACGGGACTAGTAAGGATGTCTCTGATAGTATTGCTATTTCAAACGTTAATACGTTTGGCTAACGGTAGACACGGTCGAACAGTAAGGAAACTGAATAATCCACAACGAATCATGCAGTTTGCTCAATCCTGGCATATCACGTTATAGTGAAGTTGGTAAGGTTTTAAGTCCAAAGTGACTTTTACGTTTTTATATGGAATCAAAGAGTTAGTATTTTTACAGACTAATAAACAGTTTGGTATCGCTAAAACAGTTAATATTAGATAGGAATTTGCATGTTCCTTTATCCGATTTTTTTCTAAGACGTTGAACTTGGCAGCCGAGTTTCAGTATACCATATTTTCGAAGGCGAACACTCCCTAGCTTGTGCAGTGATATTGGTTCCTAACCACACGACCTTCAAAACTGAGTATATGTGTACTGAAAGTTTTTACATTCAACATGTAACATTTGGAGGAGGCCGGAAATGGTGAATGCGGGAACAATCATTAGGTATGGAATGGCTCAGCTTTGCAGGCGTGGTTATTTCGTATAACATACACCACCCCATGTTGAATATATCATTTTATCACCGGCCGAAATGTGTTCCTAAGAAGTACTGAGCATCGTACTGCTGACTATCACCATAGGACGACCAAGTTTAGACAATGATCTGACTCTCACGTAAGATATTATAAACTGTGTAATCACATCATGACATCCACCATTTTGGAATTAGTTCGATTATTAAAGTGATACTAATGCTGAATTAGACAATAATTCTAAAATTTTACTCAACTGGATTATAGAAAGATATTACTCGTTACTTCTTCAGATAAAAAAATCTGAGATACACTCAGCTGTAATTAGTGGTTCAAGGTTTTTGACACTAGAAGCGGCCCACATATGCAAGGGAGATATTAACTGGTCACGTTTACGATTAATTTTGGCGAAAGAGCTTCGTAGCTGAAGGATATCAGCACTATAGTGATCAGTATTTTGGTTTGTATGAGGTAAAGTTTTCGAAATTCTGGGTTTTGGCCTTAATAGATCTTGCTAACGGGTACACTACAATGATTTTTCGATGTACCAGCGTATAATATATTTCCATCGCCCAGTCCTACCGTCAGCCTACCACCTGAGGAGATGAATGTGTCGTCATGCGGAAAATTAGGCAGTGATAGTGAAATTTATGGATAGGAAGCGAGGTGTTCGGAAGATGAAGGGGTTGATTTTATCAAACACTGACTCGTCGGATATAGGGATTACAGATTTCGACTTCGGGTCGGCTCAGAAGAATTAGGTCATATTTCTCTCTCATTGAAATTACTACTGAAGAATTGTGGCGGTAAACAAATTCCCAAAATAAATAGCTCTGTAAGTTTTCGACATTGGATGCTGACCCCATTAGTTTTAGTAGACTCACATAACCGAAGGCGCTCGGTCATGCATTCGCACCAGGTCACTAGTGGGAATGCCATGCTCAACAACCCCTGCAATCGCTAGCCAGATTAGATCAGACGATCCACGATATATTGATAGCCTATCTTCGAACCTCCTCGCTTCTGTCTTTTGATTTCACTTGATGGGTACGATTCATATTAGATGTTACTGGTAAGAGCGTTGTCAAACTCCAAATACCTGTGGCATCTTCAGACTGAGGGCTGAGAGAGTAAAGAGTTTGTTTACCAGATGGAAAATGAGAACTTATATTTACTAAGTATTAACTGGATTAATGCAATATGCGTGACTGTGTGTATATGAATGATTCAAGAGATTAGGTGTCAAGTTATTAAGAACGAAAGTAACGTTCAGTTGAGTATTCATGTTTCAATCAGTTTAATCAGAAGGTAGAAACCAGTTAATATTGATTATTGAGGACTTATATAAAATATTTTGAAAAGTTCACGATGAGTATGAATTAATTGGTAGATGACCTTCAGACTCCACCTCACATGTATGAAATGAACTTGATATACAATGAAATTTGATAATCTCAGTATAATACATCTTACAGATTAACTTGTCAGAAAAGAATGCATACCACGTGAGAACGTTTTACCGCTTTCAGAGTCCGCTCTTAAGCAACTTCATCATTAATTCTTTTGCGTACGATCTGGTAATTCTGCACTGAAAGATTTTATTTCGTCTCCTCTATGGATCCTGACATCATATTTTCAACCACAGAATCGAACTTGGACACCACTATATGTGATATTTGGGGCATTTGTTTCTACCAGCACAAAAGAGCTCACACGAAAATCCATTTGAACGTTTTCGTATGATTCGCTACTAGAAACAAAACTGACGTCACCTCTCTATGAATATTTCAAAGAAGGCTATACATTTAATTCGTTTCTCAAGCCGCCATAACTATTTGCCATTTGAAAATACTTTTTCCTATTAGACCTTTATAATCAAAACATACAAAACCAGCCAAATTATGGGTAAGGAATACAAAAGTTAGAAGATATATTTGGGAAGTTATCGGTTTGTTAAGAAGCGTTTGTTGCAAGGATTGAGAAGCATAGAATACTTTATGGTGATCTGGTGGTGCATAAACGAGAGCTTTCAACAAGTGTATTTCCGGTAAAACTAACAAGGTTAGCATCAATGTTGAGAACTTGCTGAACCATTTATTTTGCTATGTTTCCTTAGGTACTAAAATAAAAAAATTCTAGGTGTCACTTTTCAACAATCCCACCAATTAATGATCAAAGCTCTTTTCTTCAGACCTAGAATAAGCACGGGAAGAATTATATCTCTCTGAGATCATCAAGACTCCACATGTAGTGACTTAGAACTTCAAAATGACCTGAAGAAGTTATCTGAATGGTCTCAAACATGGCAGTTGCCGATAAATACTTCCAAGTGTGTTGTGATGCATATCGGTCATCAAGGCACAGATACATACACGATGAATAACACTGAACTACCTGTCTTCCAGACATATAATGACTTAGGAGTTATCGTTAGCCAAGACTTAAAGACTACTGCAGACTGCCGTGCAATAGCCGCCAAAAGTTTTAGAACCTTATGGTCAATACGTAGGGTTTTTAGTCATGTCGACGCTAAAACGTTTTTAACTTTGTATACATTGTTCGTACGTCCTAAACTTGAGTACTGCATACAAGCGGCTAGCCCCTGCTTAAAAAAAGGCGGTGAGCTTCTGGAAAAGGTTCAGAGAACGGCGACTAAGCTGGTTCCCGGAATAGCGAAGCTTCCGTATGAATCTCGACTGGCCAAGCTGAACCTTTTCCCGTTGTCATATCGCAGAACTAGAGGCGACTTGATTACAGTCTACAAATTGCTTAGTGACAAATTTGCACCTAACATGCCCTCATTTTTCTTGTCTTCCAAAACAGAGAATTTACGAAAACACTCCAAAAAAGTTCATAAGCCGAGAACAAATTACTTGTCAGCTGACTATCGACTTTCCCATCGAATCATCAACGAGTGGAATTCACTACCTCAGCACGTGGTTGAGGCTCCATCCATCGACTCTTTCAAAAGAAAGTTGGATCAACTGAGAGACCACCATTGCCAGGACTAACATAGGCCATCGAGCCTCCTGTCCTTCCCAAACTGAAACTGAAACTAACCAGACGCAGATCCCAAGAAACAGACAATAGGTTGTCTGTCCAGAATACTAGTAAGTTTTTCAGCACTAGAACCATAAAAAAGCATTAAAAACTTTTGCAAACTGCATGTAGATCCCACGAATCAATTAGTTGACTAATTCAATTCCACAGTTTGTAGTTTGTCTCATCCTATGAATCGCATAAAAGACCTTGAAGTGTTCATTAACGCATGTTGGTAATTTAAATAACACTCTTAGCGTCTAGTCACAGTTGTTAGGTTGTCTTAATCTCACGCTTGTGTTATTGCTGTTTAGTGTCGATTGCCTTTATAAATAATTGTAAGCGTTTTTTTATATGCTTATTGTTCTACCAGTTCGATTTTCGTCTTTTTTTTTCTGTTCTAGTTTCTTCTACACACTACTCTCCACAACTACTCAGTACACAACCTATCAAAAATTGTAAATTTCACCAGATGGCCATTTCACCTCGTCTTATTGAATATGGTTTGAAAGCTGCTGGGATTGTCACTGCTGTTTGTATGTTTCCGATTACTATACGCGTATGTAGCTTTTAGTATGCTTTTCAATGGGAGTTGTTTGCATGATCTCAATATCAGCGCAGTGCATTATTGGTGGACTTTTCCTAATGTTAGTTTTATTTCAATCCAGTGTTGTGTTTTTATCATCGTTAAATTATTGCTCAATTCATTCTGTAGTTTAATTCCATAAAGATATCACACTGTAGTTTGGGGAGATTCTAGTTTTGACCAGGACCTAATATTAAGTGAGTGATCCGAACAATCACAGTACATGTTCTCGGCCTGTATTCTTCGTTTATTTTTGTTGGTTATCACTTCTCGTGAGTTAGGCACTTGAGACGGTTAACAATTTATGTAATGCTTCTAAGCTGGAATTATCTTGGTTTTATCACAATTCCAGTTACATACTTCGAGATCGATGATAACCTGAGGTTTTGTTCTCCTTGAGTGTTGAACTATGTTGTATTAGTAGGCTTTATTATGCTTCTGTCTTCATGGTTAAGCTCTTTGCTAAGACTGAACATTGTAAGTTTTCCTTGTACAGAGAATCTACTGTTACTATACTCGTCTCGAGCTCGATGCTAACCGTCTAGCATGTTCTACGTGATGTCTCTATGTATTTACTCGAAGTTATGGTTTTGGTAGAAAGTATTCTGGGGTTTTCGTCACTTTATTTTATTAGCTTCATCCGATTTGACCTTTTATGGGAATAAACGTTACTGGAATTGCCCCAAAGTTTGCCAGACGCTAGGCTATTCATCAGAGTTCTCAATATCTTACGGTGTGCCTCTAACTTTAGAGTGCAAGTAATTCTTAGAGGTGATCTTAACACATTTGTCTGAATCATAATGCGATATAACTGGATATGTGAACCTTTGCTTAAAAGCACTATCCACCTTTTGAGCTAAAGAAGCTCGACTCAATCTAATTACGTTTATGACATTTCTGAAGTATGCCGAGTAAAATATACTGGCTAAGTCTTCATTAACCTTCATGATTACACAGTGACGTTCAGACATTTGTAAATCTGGACACGTAGGATTGGAAAGATTATCAATTCTAAGGAAACGATCACATAAAATAGCATACTTAGCATCCAGTAGTGGCACATCACTCTATCAAGCTTTCTGGATGAAGTCATCTTTAAACTTCCAAAACTGACAACCAAGTGTACCGAAAAAAATATGGTTAACATTTTATTTGACATGAAAAAGTGGATATTTGTAATATATTTATTTAATCTGGTAATTATGACATATGTTGAGGTCTTGAATTTAATTTCTTTTGTAAACGTATCGTCACAGACTTCGTAACTATACAGTGAACAAATTACTCCTGGTTTTGAAAATTGTACATAATTCCACTGTTTTTACTTTCAGTTTTCATGATAACTTTCAATCTTGCCTTTTTTCTGTTAATTTTCTAAAGTTTAATTGGTATAGTCGTCATAATATTTGAAGCCCCAATATGTTGTTCCATGATACCTCAATTGCATAAATTCAATGAATTCATTGAAAAACGATCCCCAATTGAAAAGTCGATTTTCTATGGAATGTAAGTAAATATACTTCGTAATTGCTATTTTCATTTTAGTGCAGCCATTTTACCAATGAGTTTATGTTTTGGAATTTCTACACTTTTTTGTGGATTAGCTTTAGCTGGATGTTGTGCATTTAATGTCTGGAGGATTTTTAAGGAAAGGTTAGTTTAGTTTATTTACTTTCACATCTATATTTACAAAGTTTACTGTCAAGTTAGTAGCTGATTTATTTGATCATAATACTGATATTTCTAACCTAAAATTCATTCCTGTTTGGATAGTGAGATGGTAACTGCCTTTAGATAATAAGCATGATTGACACCACTAAAAGTTTGTCTGTGTTTGTGAGTCACACCCACTCTTCTGTCATTTTATTGTCTCTAATACTTTAGTTTGGTCAGGCAGATGAGAAATATGCTTCATGTAGTATGCAGGCGTTTTTATACTTATAGTAGCGATCTATTAGTCCAGATTATTGTTTATGCTCATGCTTGTCTAATTTATGAGTAATGTGTAAGATCAACATTGAGTTTTAACATAATCCAATCACACCGGGATTAATCACAAGCTGTTATTGATCACAGGTAGATTAAGCCACCTACTCTTCTTAACAGACATTTCAATAAACTATACTCAGTGCTGTTTTAGCAATTTCTAAAAAGTATAATTAGTTTTTGGAAGTAAATCTCAATTAGGTCGACAAAATAGAACTGATTTTCATTCTGAAAAATGTATAGACAATATTTTACTCACTTAGGCCATTCGTTTGGTAAGAAATAAAACTGGACTTCAGTCTTTTATTACTGTATCGCTGGTGTATTTATAGCCGTTAGTAGGTATATTTCACATACATTTATATACAGTTATCATGTATGTAATAGATATTAATCTAAACTTATCCCAACATTGACAATCATTGGTTTCAACCGAAGTTACCACTTTATCTGTAATATGTAATTCTTTGGTCCCTGATTGGTGTATGGATGTTTACATTTATGGAACAAACTGCAGATTAATGTATGTTAACATAGAATATTCACGTCTTTTAAATGTGATTTCCATTCGTTTATAAATTAATAGTTTTCTGCTCTCATTCTACTGTGTATACAAAACATCTTGTTCTAGACGCAGTGGACAAGCAAATCCAGTTGGCGTTGGTTCTGAGCATCATACTCAATACGCTGCAGGTGAATCACAACCTCCAACATTTCAAGGTGGATATGGTGAGCAACCAGGATTTCGGGATCATTTAATCGAAAAAGCTGCTGTCGGTGCAGTAAAAGGTGTGATTGGTGGTCCGGGCAGTGGTGGTTATCCAGGAACGGGTTATTCGGGTACTTAGTTATTCTTTTGAATCAGTTGGTTACCATTTATCTCCTTCCAAGATAATAATTACGTTTTATGCTTTCGTTTTCTATCATGCAAATGAGTTACATTCCATTTATGCTTTCTTTCTTTGTATTATTATCTTATAAATGGCGATATATATATATATATATATATAAAGTGGCATTTATTGTAGTCGTTTGTTTTGCATTACATCTATTTAATTGTATTTTATGATACTTAACTCTACTATATTGTTTATCAAAATACCACACTTGTTTTCGAATCTCAATTTAACTAAGTGATACTTTGTTATTGTCAACTTTTTTCATTTCTATAACTATTCTAATTGTCGTAAATTGACTACTTCAATGATTATTTTCATTAAAAAGTTAAAAGATTGTTCAGGAGAATTGTCGTTAAAGGGTCACTCCAAAGCTTAGTATCTTTCACTAAATTGTCGATGAAATTCTACGAATAAGATATGGATAGTTGTACATCAACTTATTTGACGTTCTATAATTTGTCGACAGTTTTGTGGATGATATCATATTAAAAGAGACTACCTATCGATCTATTTTTGTGGCACGTGATATTATTATTGATATATTTGTTTGTATGTTTTAAATGACTTATTTCCATACAGGATTATTTATATCATTGCGCTCTAAGAACTATTTGTCTTCGTCTTTTTCTGTCTATCAGTGTTTCACACACGTTTATTGTCAAATCTATGCTTTGGCCGAAACTGTCATTGTTAGAATTACTTTTACCACCACTACTATTAATTGTATTGTGATTGCTTTCCTCATTAAAAACATTTCTTTGAAAATTATCATTATTTGAGCTTATTCTAGTCTATTAGAAATGTATGTGTACTGCTAGCCATACTATGCTGTAATGCTTCTTATGACAGTGTACGAGTTGTGTAGTAGCTCAGTTTTTCTGTAATGAATATTTTATAAATAGCTTGGCAAGTAATATTCAGTATTTCAAAAGTACACAGTGGTCTTTACTGATGCTCTTAAAAGTATCGTATATCCACTTACTGAGAGTGATAAAATGGATCTAAATTCTATTTGGTTCACGTTTCACACATCTATTAAACTAATCTACATAATAAATGCAACCCAGGCTTTTTATGTTTCTTTGATTTGTACTGGTGTAAAATATAATACGACATGCAAAGTTTTCAGACTTATGATGTTGCTATTCTGCTTCCAAATAAAAGTGAGAAACTAAATAGTATTCAGACTTTGATACAATTTTAAACTAAAATTTCTCGGGAAGGTGAGACCCATACCCCCAATTCAGTATTCGAAGTTGCCTTTCCGTCTTACACAATAAACAGAAAACCTAGACTATCTCACTTGTTCCAAAGATGATGTAAGCTTTTGGTTTGTCTGATGAGAGTCGTCAAATGACTGGGATTCGAAACTGTTATAATCTCCTTCTTACGGTTATGACTCAGCTATTCCTATTGCTTAGTATTCTCGGACACCGATTAACTCAGCAAGCCCCCAAATCAGAACACGGTTGAACAGGAAAGAGATTATATTCCAAATAACAAGGTTAGATGGAAGCAAGAAGCACAATAGGGAAAACGTTAGTATATTTATAGTTTTTACATGAGAAGATTCCAGAGTATTCTTCAAGTACCGACTAGTGCTGATTGGATAAGAATTAGCCAATCAGCGTACACCAAAGCAGTCGTGCATTGAGCATGCTTTAATCCAGTCTATGTCCCGCTAACAGGAACGTGTTTGACTAATTGACTCATTATTGAGAACAACATTTTAGGTTAAAAGAAATACACCCCAAACAATTTTGTATAAATGCTGGTGGGATATAGATTGGATTAGAGGATGTTCCGCTCATGGTTGTGTTTGATCACGCTGATTGACCACTTCTTAGCTAATCGGTGCTAGCCGATAATTGAAACATGCTCTAGAATCTTCTGTAAGATTATAAATATGCTAACGTTTTTTTTATAGTGATTTCTACTTCCACTCAACCTTGTTTCATTCGGAATATAATTACGTCCCTGTTCAGTCGTGCTCTGATTTGGGGACTTGTTGAGTGAAACAAGGTATCCGAAGAATACTAAGCAATGAAAGTAGCTGAATAGTAATAAGGGAGATCATAACAATAATCGGTTGATTTGCTCATAAGACTTTGTTTTTCCAGTACCCTAGTTCGATGAATGAGACTAATAGCTAAAATACCTAGAGTCTAAAATGAGAATAATTTATCTTTAAAACCGTATGTATACCAGAACTTGTAAGTAAAGTAAGTGATCTCAGTTTCAGTCAGTCATAATCAACATAGAGCGTGACGCATCTGCACCAAGCCGATTAGCCATACCATTTCTTAACAGCGAGAATAAGTTGACGAGATACATGGCAAAAGGTTGAGATACTAGTAGTAGCAATAATAGTGAGACAGACTGTTAATTTGAAGAATACTGTTCAAAAAGAATTGTTGGATTCGATTAACAGAGGGTGTTAGATAACACTGTTTCAGTGTTCACTTTAAAATAAAATGTGTGTATGTCTGCGCCATTACAACCGGTTTTTAAACCTGATACCCAGCATCTTCAAACATGCAGTCTACCCTTACCAATACGACTCAGTTCAATAGTCAATAACTTCTTGCACTGGTATCAACTGTTGGCTTGGACACTGTTAGCTTCCTCCATTTTACTATATCAGCCAACATTACACATCGAGGTTGGCGGTGGTCGGGCTTCATAATACATATCCCAGCTACTGCTCTTCAAGGCGTTTTTTCTCCATAGTTTCGCTCGTCTGGTTTGTTACTGAGTGGCTGAGCACTTTTAACTAGAACAATTTTGCTACTGGATGCTATTTAACTTGTTTCTTTGAAAAATATTCACTAATTTCTTGTTCCAATGAAAAACGTCATCACTTATTTTCTTCAATTAGAAAGTACTCCACCTTTTCAGTCATAATTTCTTATTGATCCAATTAAAAACAAAATTAGTTTTCTTTCAGTCAATTTTTCTTTTCTACGGTAGTTTATATTCTTATGAATTTTTCATAAAACGTTTAAAAATTCTCTACAAGAAAAGTACTTGTCTAAACTAAATTTTCAATTAAATATTTCTTAATCAAACATAAAATACTTTCAACATGTGATCTGAAAGGTAAACTCAAATTTTTTCCACAATACATCATAATGATATACTGATTAGTACAGTACATATTTTGATTGTACTATAAATAGGAAAGGCAAAAGATTATTGGTCACTTTGTGACCCTCATCCCATGTCCTTGAATAATCCTTTGTTAGCATATTATCAACCTAGTTGTATTATCGCATATTTTGCATGTCTTCATCCCCTAATATACATTCAGTCGTTTGATCAATGAATCCAATATATATTCCATCGTGGTTTAAGCTATCGATCTGTGAGCAAGTCATGCTACTGATTTACTCAATCTTTGCAGTCAAATATTATTTGGAAAACAGAATATTTGAAATTTTATTTGGCAACTAGAATCACGGAAATACATTACCAATATCTTTAGACTAATTGATAATATATCTAACTTTATTTTGTATGTAAAACCATTTACTACTTAGTGAACACAATAAATTCATCTTGAGTCGAGATTGTAAATGAAGACAAATGGGCCTTAAAAATAAATTCAAAAATACCAATTTATTTATTTATTAAGGATCTAATAAGTTTGAATGTATGCTAATAATTCCATATTGTACTAAACATAAAATATTGAATAAATCTGTTATTTTCACAGATTGAAATCATGAGTCAGTTGAAGCTAGACCACCATTGAAAACCTGAAAGCACTGGACGGCCGTTTCGTCCTAGTGTGGGACTCCTCAGCAGTGCGCATCCACGGTCCCGCACCACGCGGGGCTCGAACCCAGGACCTACTGGCTTCGCGCACGAGCACTTAACCGTTAGACCACTGAGCCGGCATCCAGCGGTGTTAATGTCTAACTCCAACCAATCCACGAAGTTGCGCCACCATATACCATTGTCTTCAGTGAGCTGATATCTCACAACAGACCTGGTTGTACTCCACTGGTAACGGCTTCCCACTAGAATGGTCTAATGGTTAAGTGCTTGCGCGCGAAGCCAGTAGGTCCTGGGTTCGAGCCCCGCGTGGTGCGGGATCGTGGATGCGCACTGCTGAGGAGTCCCACACTAGGACGAAACGGCCGTTCAGTGCTTCCAGGTTTTCAATGGTGGTCTAGCTTCAACTGACTCATGATTTCAATCTGTGAAATTTTCTAAAAATCTCCACAAACCCCTTCTGATAAAATCTGTTATTATTGATATGAACTGAAGAACTACTAAAAAATGGAAATTTATCAAGTTAAATCCCAGAAGATCCTAGTAATAGGTATGTAACGTAAACATAATCAGACTTAAGACATCAGGGTGTTGTGAAGATTATTTCATCATTCCAAAAGTTTTTCATCACTGACAACTCGATTTTTCGCAAAAATTCCATATCATAAATTTGAGACATCCATTTTCCGATTGCTGTAAATGATTTTCTTCCTATTATTTTGCTCATAAGTACACTTCACCGATCAAATAAAAAGTGAGAAATAACCTATCAACTTAATCTACGTTTGTATAAACTCTATCAGTGTTTAAATTTGTATAAAAGATCAACAGTTCGGTGGAGTTATTACAGTACTAGGTACAAAAGAAATTAACGTTTTATAAGTGAGTTCATTGTGATATACAAATTTTTAAAGTTGTTAGTTTACGATAGATTGTCACAACTGAACAAACGGACATCGTCAGACACATACACACGTCTTTCTCTTGTTTTTGAACAACTAGAGATCGCAAAAATATCACTGCAAGGATATATGTAACATTTTCGTATAGAATGATGATAGAGGCGTTTCCATCAATCTATTCAACCTAAATGATATATACTCAACAAAGACGGTCTTCAGTATAACTATTTTTACAAACTGAAATTGTATCTTGACATGTACTATACCATA